ATTTGTATTCGTCTTTTTGCAGAATATTCTGTATGTTATTGTTTTCTTCTTAGGCCGTCATTTAATTTTGATCAGTCATTCCATCAGTAACAGTTACTTTAAAAAGTTAATTCGAAATCTCAATCTTTTAATTGAAAAGAAATAATCATCAATAGTTGAATTGAAATCAATCGTAGCGGAATTTTCCTCAAGTGAGATTGCATCACAAAACATCAGTGTTTAAATTAAATACTTTCCAATCACAATGATTTTCGATTTAGTTGTGATTGGAAGTGGTTCGGTGGGTTCGGCGGCCGCCTTTTATGCGACAAAAGCTGGTTTGAAAGTGTTAGCAATTGATAGCGGTAATCCACCACATGATCAGGCCAGTCACCACGGTGAGACACGTTTGATTCGTCACGCATACGGCGAGGGATTGCAATATGTGCCAATGGTGTTACGAGCCCAGCAACTGTGGTATGAATTGAAGCAGTTGGGTGGCAAGCGTATAATGCATAAATGTGGTTTAATCAGTCTTGGTAATATCAAATTTCAAATGATGATAAATAAAATTAAAATATTTTCCCTTTGCAGCTCCAGACGATGGTAAATTTATTGGAAACGTGATAGAGAGTGCTCGTAAATATAATTTGCCTCTTGAAATTCTGCCATCATCTGCGGTGATGCAGCGTTGGCCCCAGATAAATATGCCCAATGATTATATCGGTGTATTTGAAGCTGATTCGGGTTATTTAAAATGTGAGACTGCAATTTCTCATTATATACGTCTTGCTAAAAAAGCGGGATGTGTTCAATTGTTTAACACTTGTGTTACTGGTGTTAGTCGAGATGGCGAGATTGAAAAGGTTCATACCGTAAGCGGTGAACATTTCGGTCGTAAAGTTTTGTTCAGCGCCGGTACATGGTTGACCAAAATTTTACCAGAATTGCCTGTTCAACCAGTGCGTAAAGTGTTCTCCTGGCATCAGTCTGACGATGATTACAATGAATGCAATCATTTTCCCGGTTTCATTGTCACATTGCCAAATGGGGATAATTATTATGGTTTTCCGGCGAATGAGAATGTACTTAAAATTGGGAAACATAACGGCGGACAATCGATAAATAGCGCTGATGAACGCAAACCATTCGGTGAATTTGCCGACGATAACACTGAAGTGGTGGAAATTTTAGGACAATTTTTCCCGGGCGTTGGAGCATGTCTTTTTGGCAAATCATGTACGTATGATTTGACGGCCGATGATGACTTTATTATTGATACACAGCCAGGCGAACCAAATCGACTCATTATCAGTGGATTGAGCGGTCATGGTTTTAAATTTGCTAGTGTTTTGGGTGAAATTGCAGCAACTTTTGCACAAGGAAAATCAGTATCATTTGACTTAACACCTTTTGCATTGGCACGTTTCAAACAGAATAAAGCTTAGAAGGCTATGAAGAGTTAAAGTTTTGATTGTTTGCTTCATTACCCTTAATTTAGTTCCTTTGCATTGAAACGAAGAAGAGAGAAAATTAGCTCTATGCAGCCGTGTTGTTTTTTCTCGCTTCTTCGACTCAATGGAACTGAAATAAGTTCAAGGATGCAATGGAAGTGACATATGCAGGGAGATTCACAAGTGAATAGTCTACAAGTTCATATATGTCAATTTCGCTTGAACAAAATTGAAAACAACCAAATGCCATGGTTTGAATTTAAAAAAGTAAGAAATAAAAATAAATACTTTACATTTTGAATTATATTTTTACTTAATTATTGGATGTAATTATAAATAGAAATAATATGTCATTCAAACTTTGCTCCATGGTCTCTGAGGTATTTGATTACTTCATATTCGTGTTCGTTTGTCACACAAAATTAATAGGAATACGTTTAATGTTCAGCATTTGCACCATTTTTGATCAGAAATTTCATCAATTCTGCATAACCTGAAAAGCATTACCAATAATCACTGATCAGATTCATTTTCTATTCAATATGAGGATTTGTACCATACCTTTCTCAATAGCAAAGTCAAGCGGTGATAGCTTATCTAAATTTTCGACATTTACATTTGCACCGTGTTCAATTAGACATTTCGTTGCTTCTATGTGACCTAAAAAATGCAATTAAATCAAAAATTAACATTGAAAATATTACTGCTGCATTTGAAAATGTGACCTTTCGTGACTGCTAAGTAACCACGCCGGAAATATTGCTGTATTTAATTCGAAAAATTGTGAAATTACCTTTCGAAACGGCTTTATGAAGCGGCGTTTCTTTTCGGTTATTTACGGCATTTACATTTGCACCTAATTCGATTAGACATTTTATTGATTCTGTCTGGCCTAAAAAAAAAACATCGGAGAACATAATTGAAAAAAGTCATTTTAATTCTGAAATGTGTGCACCACCTTTCGCGGCAGCAAAAGTAAGAGGCACCCATTCATATCTATCCTGTCCATTTATATTTGCTCCTAGTTTGGTTAAACATTTTATTGCATCTATTTGACCTGCAAATCGGGAAAATGGTAAAATTATAGTTTGCCGAACACATTTATTTCCTATTCGAAATCACCATTCTCAACAGCCAAGATGAAAGGTTTCTTTTCATCTTCATTTTCGGCAGTTATATTTGCTCCGTTTTCTATTAGATATTTTATCACTTCGATGTGACCTAGAAAGCATAGAAATGTTTAATTTCGGTCAAGATATTTATTTTCATTTGGGAATTATGTGCATTTACCACACTCAGAAGCATAATGAAGCGGTGTGTAGTGAAACATATCAATTACGTTTACATTGGCTCCATGTTCGATTAGGTATTTCGTTGATTCTACATCGCCTAAAAAGCATGGAAAGTGATAAAACAAAACGTATTGAAAATATGGTTTTCTAAATTCTTTACTTTTCCACAAACCTAACGTGAGTTATTTAAATTCAAAAACTATCTAAAAAATGAGTGTATAAAAGTACCTTCTGTAGCAGCAGCTAACAACTGTTCTCCTATGTTAGAAATGCGCGCGGATCTTACTCCAAAAAACATCATTTGTAAAACAAATACATATTTCAAGTTCATCATCAATGATTATATTTTAATCCAGTCAGTTGATTTTTTTTTTTCAATACACAAAAACACAATCAAATTGCTAAAATCTACTTCGGGAGAATACAAGTTTTGATATTTTGGTAGAAATAAACTGAAAATATTCTTTCAAAATCACAAATTCTTGTGCTATAGAATTGAATCTGTTTTGAATGAATTACGTTGATCTTTTAACAATGTTACGGGACTTCTGATCTTCTACATTATTAGGTAGAAGATTCTTGGCGGTGATTAAATAAATCAAAATATTTGAACGGGCGAGGACTAAAGTGACCAGTTGAAAATAAAAAAGAGATAAGTACATTTTACTTTTCCGCACATACAAAATTTGTATTTCCGCACATTTTGTATGAGAGATATACCCTTAATTTTGGTTAAAATTTCTCCAAATCCTCCGAAAGTTATTAAGGTAGCATACAGACATGGCTCCCATACAAAAAACCAAATTTTTTTGTGACTTTAGTTATGAAAAGTGTTTCAAAAATAATTTTTATGGTAAAATTAACGTCAGACATATTTTTAATAGTGTTTTTCTTAGAAAATAGAATACTTTCAAATGTCGTACAAATGGGTTCATCATGAAAGTGTGAAAAATCTTTTCTCGAGTACTTCTGCTATTAAATTAAAGAATATTTCGATGCCAAGGTTTGAACATATTTTTTGGTCTCGAACTTTACGCCGCTTGAAAGGCTTGAAAAATCGAACAAATATTATTTTGAACTTTCTTAATAAAATACGCAACTAGTACCGTGCGGAAAAGTTCGTCTTACTCCTGTAAGACTCTTTATTTTACATCTAAAGTTGTTGTTGTAATTTCAACAAAAGCATAGAGTGCCAATAGCATAATTTTATTGCTTTTACTCTAAATATCTGCTGAAAATATGCTATTTTCATCCAGCCTGGTGGATTCATGCTATAACTCTCTGAATAAAATCTCATCATTTTATTTTCTATTGGCTTTCGCATCACATTAATTCTCACCCATTCATTTATTGTGAAAAGATTAACATGTTGAAGTTGAGATTACACTATCATCACTTTTAGTCAATTTTATTTGCATTTGACTTTGATTAGCAAACGACCAGTCTTATCACTTTGATAGTTATACAGCATGTGTACAAAAAAGCGCCACAATTAGTAATTTCAATTTAAATTTTTTTGAATGTATACAACCATTCATACAGTTTTTCTTTTAAAGCAAATTTGATCGGAACGGAATTGCAAACAATAGCAATATCAGAATTTACATGAATATTGATAATGAAATGCCTCTACCAAACAAATATTTTAAGGTCAATCTGTGCTTTTATGACCTTGATTTTGACTTGCACGTCTTATATTTGCTTTGAAAGCTTATCAACGATTCAATAAAAAATGCGGTCCACTCATTGTTGTTCTCGTGCTTATCTGTACATTTTCTATTCAAGTAGTCATTAATAATCCTATTTAAAGATCATTTCAATAAAAGCGAAGTCACATAAAATCAAAAATAAAATATACAAACAGTGACACACACTAATTCGAAAATATTTTTATTCAAAATACAAAATGTTTCGAGTCAATTTGTGATCATTGTAAAAAAAATCCGAATACTCAATAATGTGGCATTGCATTAGAACTTTTTTGTACTAAATTTTGTACGTTGCATAAAAAATGTATATTAAAAAATATTTTAATTTCAATTTGATTATACTTTAATTATAAATAAAATGGTTATTTAAATGTGTCCCATGTCCTCTAAGATAATTGATTACATCGATGTGACCTACAGAGCACGGAAAATCACATTTTATTTGAAATATTTTTTCCTATTTCAAAAAATATGAACATTATACCATTCTTATTAGCATAATAATGGGGTGTATGTTGCGAATTATCTTTCACATTAATATTAGCTCCATGTTCGACTAGAAATTTAACCGTTTCTGTATGACCTGTAAAAGTATTGAGATTAAACTACGCCGGAAATATTGCTGTGTTTAATTCGAAAAATTGTGAAATTACCATTCGAAGCGGCTGAGTGAAGTGGCGTTTCTTGCCAGATATTTACGGCATGTACATTTGCTCCGTGATTAACAAGGTATTTTACTATTTCTATGTCACCTATTGGAATCGCAAAGTGATTAAATTAAACTTAATTGAAAATAATTCTTCTCAATTCGGAAAAGTGAACAATTACCCTTGTCAGCAGCTGAGTGAAGTGGCGTTTCTTGCCAGATGTTTTCGGCTTGTACATTTGCTCTGTGACTGACTAGGTATTTGACGATTTCTGTCTTAGCTAGAAGTCACAATTGTCGAAGAAATCAAACGTAATTGAAAACATTCTTTTACAGTTCAGAAAAAAAACGTACCATAACCGTTTGAAATAATTGCCCAGTGGAGTGCGGTCTGTTTGTTCTCATCCTCATCATTTACTTCAGCTCCATTTTTGATTAAACATTTCACTATATCTGCGTAAGCTGTTAGAGTGCAAAAAATGTGTTGGATTTAAAGAATGAAAATATTTCTTCTCAATTCGGAACCTTTCCACGCCGCAATCATTGTAGGAGTGTATTGGAATACATTTTTGACATTCACATTTGCTCCATACTCGATAAGATATTTTACTATTTCGGTGTGACCTTTAAGATGTCGAAATGAACAAGTTTGAATAGGAAATACGAGGGCGACTATTTAAGTTTCTTCAATATGTATGTTTTAGTATTGCCCGATGCAAACCATTGTCATATTCGTAAAGTTGGACATTTTTCATGACCATTTGACTTAACAGGACGAATTTTAGTTTTGTGGTATGGCCACGGTGTCAGTTGGAAAAGGTCAACTTCGCAAAAAAATGAAATTTACAAAAAAGATTATTTCTCATAAGTTTTCAAAAAGAGCTGCCTGCTCAACAGTATTACTTCCGACTCAAGTCGGGGTATGGGAAGGAAGTACCATGCCTTACCACTGTATACAACTGGTTCACTGAATCCCATCGTCATGGTGCTCGCTACAGTGGTCAATTGCGCGATGGTCCTTCGAAAATTGATGTCATCGAGAAAAACTCTGGTGCCGATTGAGTTAGGATCGAAGTTTCTTTTACAGTTAAATTGTGGTATGCCCAAGGATCACAGAGACTCCAATCATTTGGTTCTTCCATGAATTACAACATGAAAAAAATAAATCTTTACTTGTCAACCCACAGTTGCTCAAAAATCGATTGATTTTAATCACATCCAAAAAATCATAACCAATTTGACATAGGATAATAAAAACACGTCTATACGATCGCAATAGAAGCCAAGACATGATTCCAGTAGTTTGGACCTGAAACAAAAACTTGGTTGACTCTCTGAGTCTTCAAACATGAACACAATCGAACAAAAGTTGTTCGTTTGTGAAGTGATAGGGAAAATCGGACCTCATTATTTTACAGTGTTATGTGTCATGTTGCTACCATGCCTTTAGAGGATGAAAGGTCCTTCAATGCTGAATAGTACACAACCATTTGATTGTCAAAAGTCATCACGGGAATATGGAGACCAAAACTCTGAAACTTATAATCCCAAAACATGGCAAAAAGAAGCCCATCAAACAGTCGACTATTTGACCACCCAAAAGATCGAATTGATGCACAATACTCCGTGTACGAATTATTCGGGACCCCTCTGTCCACCAGAGACCAAAATCAGTTGGATACAATATATTTTTCGTACTTGAAATTAGGTGCATATTCAAAAAAGTGCACTTTTTGGAGTGTCATGTTTAAGCTGCTGTCGTAGCCATACCACAAAACTAAAATTCGTCCTGTTAAGTCAAATGGTCATGAAAAATGTCCAACTTCACGAATATGACAATGGTTTGCATCGGGCAATACTAAAACATACATATTGAAGAAACTTAAATAGTCGCCTACGTATGTCGTTAAATTAGGAAAAGTACCTCGTACGGCAGCGTAGTGCAACGGCCTGCTTGCAACGATGCCGTTAACTTCTACATTTACATCAGCTCCATATTCGGTTAGATATTGGACTAATTCTATGTTACCTATGAAGTATCGAAAGAGACATTTCAACGGAAATACTACCTTTGATGAGGAATAATGTAGAAATTTCTACCATTCTTAGTTGCTAAAAGAAGAGGAGTATATTCACCATACTCTGTGCGGGCACTTATACTTGCTCCTGCTTCTAGTAAGGTCTTACATTCTTCTGTTCGACCTATTGCATGTAATATGAGGTCATCGACGTCTTTGAGTTTGTTTATTATTATTATCTGCATCGTTTATGGATTTTCAACTTTACCTTCATCTGCAGCACTTAATAGTTTTAAATCTAAATCAGGAAAACGTGCGGCTCTTACTCCAAAAAACAAAATTAGTAAAGGAAACACATATTTCACGTTCATCATCAATGATAAAATATCGCTCAGTTGAATTGTAATTTTTTTCACTAAACACAATCAAATTGCCAAAATCTACTTCGAGAGAATACACGATTTGATATTTTTGTTGAAACTGAAAATATTTTTTCAAATTCACAGACTATTCAAGTTTCTTGTGCTATAGAAATGCATCTGTTTTGAATGAATTACGTTGACTTGTTTACTATGTTACGAGACTTGTGATCTTTATGGCGTAATAAATTTGAACGGCTGAGGATTAAAGTGACCTACATTTTCTACATATCTAGCTGTTGCTGTAATTAATATTTTGTTATGTTGTAATTTCCACTGGTTTTCTAGTCACTTTAATTCTCACCCATTCATTTATTGTGAAGAGACTCACATGTTGAAATTGAGATTACACTATCATCGTTTTGTTATTCTTATTTTGGTAATTTTTTTGTAACTTTTATTTGTATTTGACTTTGGATCGCAAGTGGTCAGTCTTATCGCATTCATAGCTACATAGTATGTGAACAAAAAAGACGCCCAAATTACGTAATTACAATTTATTATTTTTTGAGTGTATGCGTTCGCATTCTTACAGTTTTACTTTTCATGCAATTGTAGATAATCTAATAGAAACGGAAATTCCGTTCCGGAATCGCGAGATAAATCAAACTTTGTGATCAACGAGAGTATGAGTAATTATATTACTTTCTTTAGCTGATATTTGGATCTTTTCAATTTACAACTAATATTTTCAGGTGGAATGAAATATCGAACTCAGCAATATGAATAATAAAATTGATTTTAAATTCAAACACATGTACTTATTATTATTTGAGCTCACGATTTGAAAAAAAATTACCGTTTCCACGAAATTCCTATGAAAAGAAAAAATATAAGGAAAAATCGGAAAACTTCTTAAAGAAGCCTAGATGATAATCATGATATCACTTTTTGCAATTTTTGTTTATAATTTCTATTCGTCGAATACTTTTATGATACAAAAGAGTTATTTTTAACTTCTTTATTCTAAGAAGAAGATATGAGAAATTAAATGAAATACAAAACAAATATGCTTACATAATACTGAGAGATGAAAATCAACGCAAATAACACATAAAATTAATTCATTCTGATTTTTCAATAAATTGGATGTAAAATCTTCATAGTAGGAACTTCTACGATCGAATTTGTTTCAAGCAAACATCGCTTAGCTGACAACTCTTCTCAACTGAACGAACATTACAAATGATATTATTTACATTGTTCAAATATTTGTTTTCATTTTTTTGTACGTCAATTTATAAATAATAATATAAACAAATGACATACACAAGCACCATTTGTTGACGTAAATTGATGGATTTTCAAAACCCGGTAATATGATGACTATTGTCCGTTCCTATAAATCTACGACAACACCATCTCTCGTTCCCCATCTGTTGCGAGTTTTTAACCAAACAATATTGATTGAATCAAATTAAATAGTTTAATATACATTCAAAAAGGGTTCAAGTCTAATCCCGACTATTTGAAAAATCCTCAGGTAAAATATTAAAACAAAACTTGAAACAATTTTTTTGAATTCATTTTTTTAACTGTCGTCGATTTCATGGAGTAAAACATATAGAAACAATATATACAGACAAACATCACACTGTGTATGAAAATACTAATACTCAGCTTCGTTTCTGTGATGACCACTTTAAGCGTACATAAGATGCTTGTGTATGTATTGTTCAACCGGTTAAGCCTATGAAGAGACAAAATGCGAATTCCCCTCATCTGTGCCATCTTGTATTCCATAGTTGAACTCAATTTAGTTACAATGAATTGAATCGAAAAAGAGAAAAAAAACAACAACAGTAACATGGCTACATAGATCTGTTGACCAGTGAGATACGTATAGCAATGGAATGAAAGAATGAAGAAAGCGTATATGTGTATGTATGCATCAGCACGCATAGATGTACAGCTCTGTGTGGCCGTGCTATTGTTGTTGTTTTTTCACTTTTTCATTTCAATGCTACAGAATTAAATTCAGTTTTTGCATCTAATTCACACTAAAATCAGATGGCGCTCATTAGCGAGATTCGCAAAAAAAAGTCTCCAATCTCATACAAATATACACCGGCTGGTATTGTTTCTTTAATCTCTACAGTGTGCTGTCACTTTCGCTCCTTCAAATCGACGGCAATTAATAATAAAATGAATTTTGTTTCAAAAAATGATTTTAAATATGGCTTCAATAATTTAAATGAGGATTTTTTTTTTAAATGTGGGATTTAAATTAAATTCTTTTATTTTATTTTAAATTAAAGTGAAATTTTTTTAACAGAAATAGCTACTGGTGTGTAACCAAAGATAACGTTTTCGGTTTAGATGCCACTGACGTTTACATACAAATATGTCAACGAAATCCCCGGTTAGATTTTCACTTGTTCAAACAAACTCAAAAAAATACATATTGGAACAATACACACAAAAACGATTTCTCGTTCAACTGCTCCAAGTCATACTTGGTAACAGGCACGGTTAGATTTGAAAATAAAAGGTATTTTAAATGGTTTCACCCAATATCTTAGGTAAATGCTAGGCGCATTGAAACAGAAAAGTATACTGTGTGTATAATTATTATTAAAAATTATAAAGTGTTATAAGTAAATTTTTAATTGTCTTTCTTATTCAGAAAAATGGTATGAACAAGGTTTATTTAAGATGGTATCAAATTGTCTCAAAATCGATTGATTGAGAAAAAGACGCTAAGTTCGCGTTCACTTTATTAAATCATAATAATGAATTGGTTTCACATCTTCATTGCACCGATTTTTCTCATTGGATATTCTGTAAGACTCTGAAAAGTGGAGAATAAAATTCGATATGAATTTATCATTTTACTAATCCATTCTACTCTTTTCTTTTCATAGGAATATCGCAGAGGTGATCATTTATATTTTCTTTAATTGAAGAACGTCACTTTTTCACATAATTGAAATAAAATCTTTTCATATCGTTCTATGTACAATTGACAATATATATTTGACGCTTATCCTATTTGCACTGTCATATCCAGTAATTGCACAAGTTGTAAGTATATTCATTTTACGAAATATTGAAAGAAGACTCTGATAACAGGAGAATAAAAGCTATCGATATGCAATTATCATTCTCTTCTGATACACCTTGTTTTGTAATCTACACATTTCTTTTTATAGGTTGATGGTGATACGGTTGAAAGGATTGAAGATTATCCATTTATGGTTGGATTATATAGAAATTTAAACAGTACACATTATGGATATACATGTGGCGGTACGATCGTATCGCATTGGAAAGTAGTAACGGCAGGTAAAACCTGAGATGTAGTGTATTAGCAGGGCTGTAATTTTCACTCTGTCCGTGTGCGCACATAGTAGTGTGTACACACAGAGAGAAAATATCAGCCGACGCTATACGCAAAACCGACTGGTACGTGCGCTCATACGTTTTTACATCTTTTACATCTATTACCATACGATTTTTCGACAGTGCGAAGATACGCACAAAGAGTAACGAATCAGTCAAAAAATCGTATGGTCACTAGATGTAAAAGATGTAAAAACGTATGAGCGCACGTACCAGTCGGTTTTGCGTATAGCGTCGGCTGATATTTTCTTACTGTGCACTCACATTCCATGTGCAACGCACACTTGCACAAAAGTTTGACATCTCAAAAGATGGTTTACAACATGGAATGTGAGAGTACACACTACTATGTGCGCACACTGACAGAGTGAAAATTACAGCCCTGTGTATTAGTCTAGATATATTAACTCTTTCAATTTTCTCAATGAAGCACATTGTGTATTCAAAAAAACTTCGTTCAACTTGAGATTTGGATTACTCAGCTTTAATGAACGTTATGACTATAGAACAATGAATGTGGATGAAAACGACATAATAATTCATCCAAAATATAGCAAAGAAGCTCCTCATAATAACGATATAGGTACGATTGAATTTTATGCTGTATTTATTCGAAACCATTCAATTTTTGAAGTTTTCTATGAAATCACCATGTGTTAGCCGTAATTCAATTGAAAGAAAGATTGAGTTTTGATGCAAGAGTTAATAAAATAGAGATGCTTGATGAGAATTACGTACCCAAGACGATGGATAAAGTTACTATGTTGGGGTGAGTATTCAGAAACATTTAACCAGATAATATCCCATCAGGACTGATTAACAAGGTACATACTTATAACAAATATTCAATAGGTATACCAAATATGACAACACCACTGAAAGAGATGGTGAAGATAACAACTATTATCTACAAATAGTTAATTCAACAATCCACGACTTTGAAGACTGCCGTGTCTTATATTCCAAAAATGATAACTGTTTCAAGGAACTATTCAAAAAAGAAGTGCGATTGATTTGTGTCGCTTTACGTAAAGGAAGAGAAAATAAAAAATCCCCCCATAACACAAACAGAGGCGACTCGGGCAGTACATTTGACCATTTTTGACCATGTTTTTACCAGTGACCGGTTCGCGCATATTTCTATGCTTGCCTAAATACGCTAGGTAGCATAGATATCCCAAGCATAGCCGCAAACGCAACCGACGCATCGCCGTTCACTCTATATGAACAATACACATATTCGTTTATGCAGACGACCGTGCGCATACAATATAGCTCGAATCGAATGGCGACGGGTGCGTTGCGGCTTGCGTCTCCGCTATGCTTAGCATAGCTATCAGGCATAGAAATATGCGCGAACCGGTCACTGGTTTTTACCAAACCCGGGCCATTTTCTGTATTTCCATTGAAATGGCATTGAATCGATCTAAATTAAATTACGAATTTATTCAATTGTCACAATGGAAATAAAGAAATGACCCCAAAAACTGCTAAAAACAAACAAAATCAGCTTCAATTACCAATTATTTCAATTTGTTGAAAAAGTGTTTGTTTTTCTAGGTCCAATAATAACACCGGATAGAAAATTTCTTGGTTTAAATTCCTTATACATTCTTAAGTATCCAGAAATTTGTGTTCTAATTCCTGCATATCGTGATTTTATAGCTAGTCCGAGGGTGAGTATCGAAGTGCATGCATTTATTTTATCTTCGACCGGATTCAGAAATCTCAAATTTGAATGCGTACTGATGTCAATCAAATATTCTAAACTTTTTCATTCTCACAGGCGATTAGCAGCAGTGCTGCTGAAGGTAATTTATGTCTTCTCGACAAAATAAAAAATCCGTAACAAAATCCAATTTTCAACTAAAAACATTCACAACAGAAAATGGCAGATTGATTTTCAATATCCAAGATCATCCATATATGGCTGCTTTGCTCTATACAAAAATATCTATTTTTTCAAATACTCCGTATATAAGCTGTGGTGCAACTATCATTTCAAGTTCAAAGATTTTGACAATTGCTTCTTGCGTTCAGGATATACGTTCTCTGAATTTACTGGTCTCGACCATCAATACAGATGAACCATATTATCAACTAAAAATCTCTAGACAAGAGATTCACATTCACCCGAAATACAACAAGAGCACATTTGCCAATAATATAGGTAATACATTATATAGTAAATAAAACAAATAATATATTATAATTAATAATAGCTTTGCTTGAGCTTAAGACACCGCTAAAATTCGGCCCGAAGAAATTGATTGGTAAAATAGATATGATCGACAGAAATCGTTTGGCAAGCATTAGACCGGGGAAGGATGTCTTCGTGCTAGGATACACGGAATCAAAACAATATGATAGAGAGTACACCGATACCCATCTCAGGTATATGAACGCTAAAATTGTCAACTTTGGAGAATGTCGAAAATTGTATGCAGAAAGAAATAAGAAATATGTGTTGGACGAGAAACGTCAATTTTGCATTACTTTCGGGGGAAATAGCACAACTGCACACTTTTATGGAGGTATAAATATGATCCATCTTCCAAGGGTCCCGATTACTCCTCTAACTTTCATTTCAGGACCGGTTATTGCCAGAGACAGTAAAAATCTTCTTGGTTCGATAGCGAATGATTTGAATGGGTTACCAAAAATCGTCTCTTCAGTTATTGGGCACCGTGCATTCATTGATAGTCCAAGAGTATGATTTAAAAATGTGCTATCGACGATAGCTTAGAGTCATTTCTGAAGCACACCAATGAACTAATATCGTTCTCAATTTTCTAGGATTATCGTGAAGTCATCAACGAAAGCGGTAAATTTTCATATTCACAAAATTGTAATGAATCCTTAGGTCCATTGACATTAAATGGAATAGTACGAAGGTACACTCAAGTTTTGATAAACTATCATTTAAACATATTTCCATCGATACAGTTGAATTGCGAGGACGACCCGCTGGATCGACTAGTCAACCGATTGAAACACGTAAACGAACCGGTGTTCAAGGAGTCGGTGATCCATCAATTGGCCCGAGTAGACAAACCGTTCAATCAACTGATGAATCAACAACTGACGGTACTTTGGTGGACAATATTGAAGGCTATAAATATATGGTTGGATTAAAAGATGATGGATTTCTATGTTCTGCAGCTATATTAACGAATTACCAGATAATTGCTGCCGCACATTGTTTGAGAGACAAAAAGTTCGTTAATTTAATTCTTGGTTCTTTAAATTTGGGCGAACCATTTCAAACACAAAATTTTACGGACAAGCAAATCATTTTGCATCCAGCATTCAATAGCGAGGTGCCGTGCGTAAACGATATAGGTACGATATAGGTATATTTTCAACTGAAAATGTTTTCAAATAACACATTTTTTTTCTATCCTAAAAAAAAAGCTGTAATTCAACTGAAAATAAAGTTGAAATTTGGTCCAAAAATTGGAAAATTGGATATAATTGATAGAAATTATGTTGCAAAACCAGGAGATAATGTCACGATGCTAGCATATGTAAACAATCGATTGCATACAATCAATTCAACAATTGGGGAATTTGAATCATGCCGATCTTCGTATCAAGAGAGAAACAATGATGATCCACAGTTAGAAAAAGAACGTCAATTTTGTATAACTTTCGATGGAAAATATGATGGGGGTATTAACTATAATGAGTGAATTGATTGTTGCTGATCCGCTAATAATCAAAATGAAACAATTATAGGACCTGTTATCAAAGGAAATAAAATCATTGGCATCGTTTCAAATGGCATTGGTGATGGGTTTCCTGAAGTTTGCAGTTTTACCAATGGATACAGAGAATTTATCACCAATCCCAGGGTGGGAATTTTCAATTTTGAAAAGGTTTCGTAAAAATTGACTAATTGTACTCGCTTTTTCAGATCTACTCAATGAACTATCGCCAAAATCAAAAACCTACTCCGAAGAAAAAGTCGTCATTTAGAAAATGTATGCCCAAATCTTAGGTGTTTAAGGAGGAAAGTAAATTGAAAAATATTATCAAGCTGCAGAAAGTAAATTGAAAAATATTTTTGTATTATATGATTTTTATATATTGTGACGTATTTTTGTATGGATGCAATGACTACATGATATCACAATGATATGAAACTTTGCTAAGACCATGTTTTACAAAAAAAGAACATTCTAAGAGTTTGAAGAACTTTCAATTAAAAATAAAGGTACTTCCCATATTAAATTTTCAATTTACGGCTGAAAAACGAAATTTTTTAATAAAAAAAAAAACGATTTTTAAATTTAGCGATTTTAAAATTTTGGGGTCATTGCAATACTTTACTGCACACAGTGGGTGTGCGGAAAAGTAAAATACTTCTTACGCGATCTCTTATAAACGAAGGGCAAGCGAAGTAAAACACGCTGACTACAATGTAAATCAAACGTATATCTGTTTTACACAGATGGTGTTTTTCTATAAGATATGTGACGTCACAATACAATCATATTGACTGCGCTCATCTCTCGCTTATAAAACGATGTAAACTAATTCATACGCCCAATAATAAACTGTGAAACCAATGGAATTCGTGTGCCTTATGTTTTTGAACTTGAAATTGTTAGTCAGTAATCAGTAGGACAGTGTATGGTTCACTTGTCATCAAATCGATTGACGGCGGAGAAAAGCAATAATATTTGTAATTATTGAATAATGTATTTATTTTACGTATTTTGCGTCTTGATTTTCTTCACTGAATATTCTGTAAGTATTCACACAGAAAACGTCAAACAAATTACAACATTTAGGAGATCTATATTTCGAACCATCAAGTATCAAATTTGACAGTTTAAAATCTATCCCATATTATGTTATACTATGTACTTCTCTTTCTCTTCTTTTTATTTAAAGGTTCC